GTACATACATGCCCAGTGTGTGCAACAGAATTTTTTACATTTTAGATGTTTTTGCCTTAGGGAGTGTGCACTCACTGGAGAGAGACAGAGACAATGTACACATGCCCAGCTTGATTTTCAAGCTACTGGGTTTAGGATTCAAACCCGGTGGCCGTGTGAGAATCCAGTGATGTAGCCACTACGCCATGTGCCGGTCCCCTGCAGAACAGGAATTTAACCCCCCCCACACACGCTCACACCCTGGGCTGGGCCAGCCCCTTAGCACAGGGGTTACACCCTGGACAGAGAGAGCCAGACCCCATGTTGCAGTCCTCAGACTACCAGCCCCAAAGGCTTGAAAAACATGCAGGGCACAGGTGAGTTTGCCCTAAATCCTGAGAGACAGAAAAATGGAGGAAAAAAGATTGCTGAGTGACTGGAGCCCACTAGTGCTTTCTTCCTCCCTCCCTCCCTCTCTCTGGTGAGCCCATGCACCCTCTAGAACATAAGAATTCTTCAAAGAAAAAAATCTCCTCCAGGTGCTTCTAATGTGCAACAAGATGGCAGCCCACTGTTCTAAAAAGTTCTGTACCCCTTAATTAGACAACAATTAACTCCCAGGCCTCGGAGAAGCTCCCCAGTTTCTTGCTCTACTGGCTCAGTGAATTCCAGGCCCAGGCACAGAAACAAACCAATGTGTTATTATAGACAAAAGCCAGTCCCCACTTCCTAGCTTCAGAGCTAAGGGCAGGAAGCCACTGTACGCACGCTTCAGAAAATGAACATCGGCTGAAAGGGGAACATTGTGGCTTAAAAGGAGACACAGGCAAGCACAGTTAAAAAGAAAAAAGGCACAGGGCCAGCTGGTGGTGTGTGGTTAAAGTGGCTGGATACCACAGGGTCTTATGCAGGGCTTGCGTCTTGAAAAACACGTCAGGCGTGCGCGTGTGCGTGTGCCCCAAATCCCAGGAAGAGAAGGGACTGTGATGTGGCTATCCCCCTTCCAGAGGGGTGGTGAGTGTGTCATGAGTATGTGCTTGCTTCTTCTTTCTCTCTCTCTCTTTTTCTCTCTCTTTCTTTCCTTCTCCAGCAAGTGCATGTGCCTTATAACAACTTAAAAAAAAAAAAAAAAGGAAAGAAAGAAAGAAAGAAAGAAAGAAAGAAAGAAAGAAAAAAGGCATCAAATCCCTGACCCTAAGGGATGTTTGCTACCGACCTGTCTCATGTACATAAGGAAAACCAGATCGAGCCTAGCAAATCTGGATCACAATCCCAGTTCCACCACTTCCTGCATGATGTTCAGACAAGCGGTTTAACCCAAGTCTCACGTTCCCGACTGATAAAGTGGAGCATTAAAGCCATAATCTTTGAAATAAACCACGGGGGAAAAGCAGTTACTACGCGACACCAAGTCCTTAGCGTGGTTTCCCGCCTGGTGATGCTACCGGTGGTCTGGAGACCACACTTCGAGAACTACTGCTTCATGCTGCCTTGGGACAGACGGAAGACTGATGCATGGGGGTCTTCAAAAGGTTCCTGGAAAATGTGTATTGTGAGAAAACCATGGCCCAGCCTAGGCGATGAGTCCGCAGGGTACCGGGCTGCGGGGCTGAAAGCCGCGGGGCCAGTTGTGGGGTCAAATCCCTGGTTTGGCCTGAAAACACTTGGTGGTGCCCAAGATCCCAAGGAGCTAAAGAGCCCAGGGGACCACTGTTCCCAATCCTGGCTACATATTAGAGTCACCTGCATGGTTAAAGAGCACTGTTCCTGAGCGGCTACCCACCTCCTCGGACCGATTAATCAGAATCTGGGGAGGGGGGGAGGAGGATGAGCAGTCAGTAACATGCTCCTGAACAGCTCTCCGGATGACTCTGGTGTGCGGCCACAGCTCAATGTCACGGAGCTAAGACACCTGTTTAACCAGCGTGCTCTGAAAATCACTGGGACATGTGGCCAAAACATCAGCTCAAGGGATTCTTCCAGCAGGGACATTCTAAAAAAGCATTGCATTAAGGCTGCTTAATGAAACTTCCCAGACCTGAGGACCTTTCCACGACTCAGAGAAATCTGCCCCATTTCAGTCCAACAAAATCAAATCTCCCACTCAACTGTAGTCGTTTTTAGCATCTTCTAAAACGCGCTGATGTGACAGCTATGCTAAACATTGCGCCAAATGACACGCCCCCCCCAACCCAGTGTTTAACACAAACTGTTGGCTTCTCTCACGAATCTAGTTATCATTGATCTCAGCTTTTGGGGGAGAAAACGAAGAATCAGAGCTAAAAGGGCCGTTTTTCTCCAACTCTCACGTCCCTTTCCTTACATAACCCAAACCAAGATGTCGTCACTCTAATCTGCAGGACTTGGAAAATGTCCTTTTAACAAGTTCTCAGGTGATGCTTATGATCTAGGGGTCACAGTTTGAGAACCACTGCTTTCTGCCATTTTAAGGCAGGCCAAAGTCAAACATAAAGGCATCTTCAAAAAGCTCATGCATGACCAGCAGATGGCACAGTAGTTACGTCACTGGACTCCCACATGGCCAACCATGGTTCAAGTCCCAGATCCAGTGGCTTAAAAATCATGCCAGGCCATGTGCCTGTGTGCTCCGGGAGAAGGGACTGCAGTGTGGCCACCCTCCCAGAAAGACTGTCTGTCTCTCTCTCCCCAGCAAGCATGCATGCCCTACAACCTCTTAAAAAAAAAAGTTAATGTGCAAATGTTTATTATGAAAAATAGGTGGCACGGCCCATAGCGTACTGGTCTACAGCACTGGAAGTTGCTCAGCCAACCCTAGTTTCAGATCTTCCAGAAAGCCTGAAAACACTCCAGGCATCCAAGATCTTCAAGAGCAGGAGGCTAAAGAAAAGGGAGGTAAGACTAATTGCTTTTGCACCAAAATAAACTCATAGTTTCACTGCATTTTTTCCTACAAATTTGTAGTCCTCTTGTATAGGCAGATTCATGTTTCTTCAATAGTGTCCCTGGGACTCATATTCCACCCTAAAGACTGCACTTCCCAGGGAAGTGACAACAGGTGAACGCATAAAACGAAAATGTGGATCGATCTTTGGTCATCCCCACCCAGGGACAAAGAGCTATTCAAGGCCAGACCCTTGTGGATTCCCAAGCAAACCGAAACCTTCCCAGAGCTTAGACGCAGCAAGTCAGACAGCCTCAGGTCCTTAGGCGCGGCTGCCTCGAGTCTCAACGGAAGTGACTAGCTAGGTACCTAGGTGCCAGCTGGCGTGGGCCCCCTGACCTCGGGCCCCTGGCATCCCTCCCCGGAATTCCAAGCACTCAGAGCACACCCGCCCGCCAGCTTCCTCTATTTCTTTCCCCCCTTCCACTCGCCAGTGTTCAGACGCACCTGGAGGTTCCCTCCTCGCTTCTGAGAAACCCAGCGATTCAACTCCCAAACTTCGAAGCCTCAAACTCGGGGCTTCGAGCGCAAGGGCTCCCCACTCACCCTCTCATTACCTACCTACTGACCCTCACGCATTCAAGTCCTCATTCTCCACCCCAAATATTCGTCTTCGATGACATCTCTTTGTTCTCATAATCCCGATTCCCAACTTCAACAGGCACTCAAGACTCAGACCTCCCCATCTCCCGACACACAGCCATCCCCCCAAACCCAAGTACCCTTCCCTGTACCCCCAAAAGCCAGGGAACCCCCAATTCACCCAAAGCCCTTCCCCCACTCCAGCCTCGCCCCTCTCCAATCCCCATCCGCCTCTCCACTCTCGCGACCGCCCCCCATGGCGTACCCCCCTCTCGGCCCCTGCTCTCTCTATTCTGCCCATTGCCCGGCTCCCTCGGCCGCTCAGGACACCCGATCAGTGGGCACCGCCCTCCTCACCATGAAAAGTCGGAGGACGCCGGAGTCTCCAAACCCGGACTGAGAGAGGCAGGAAACACCCAGCCCACGCTGGCCGGCGACGGAGGCGGGGCCAGGGCGGGGAAGGGCGCAGGCGACACCCCCTTC